CTGGTCCCAGCCTCTGTAACCATGACACTCTGTAATTTAAACTGGGCCAGTTTGTGTTCACACAACTGGAGTTCATTTTCCATGACTGTCTTCTACAAGATGATGGCTGCTTGCCAAAACAATTTTAAAGTAGTTGCGTTTCTTATTAGCTCATTAATTCAGTGAACAAATATCCCCATCACATGAGGAACAATTGATTCTTATTGTTACTAGTATCATTTGTTCTCCAGTCTCTACCTGAAAAGCTGGAAGTCTTCCACAATCACACAGTCCCTCACTGGGTTTGTTGTTCTAACACCATGGAGATAAGTGTGTGCAGTCACACAGGGCCAGGAAAACCCCTTCCATCATGCTTTCTTCTAAGTTCTCTATCAAGAGAATTTTGCACAATTACTTGTCTGTTTAACTCCTGTCATTACTTACTTGTCATGTGACTTTTACTTGTGTCCCTACCCTTCATGAACAATGCATGTCCTTCAGTTCATATGTTCCATTCATGATTGCCAGTCTATGCCAGTTTGTATGTTTCTTCCACTCTATGGAGAGTGTCAGGAGTTGTAGTTGCTCTATTTTACCCTTGCATTACTAAACAAACACCTTGAACATACCTGCCTGACATGATTCCATTTTCTGCCTAGTCTCCAATATCACCTCCCTTTCCATTACTTGAGTTAATATCACTGTTTTCTCCTTACTACCAACCTATGTACAAACTGATTTTTGTCTGCTTTTCCATTTTCTTACAGAAAAGACTTTGCCCATGCTGAGCCTTCCTTCTCCTCCAGAGCTCCTCTACGCTCTTGCAGTCTGGTTTGCAAAATCCCTTGCAGTCATCTCACGAAGGTATTGCTCCCCAGCCCACTGCTGCTGTCACCTCTTGCATCCGCAGTCTTTCCCTGGCCACTTCTCCTCCCTGTGGAAACCTCTCTGCGGCTCCCTTTGCCATGCACTAAGTATTTTCTTCTTCCAGCCCTTACAAGTAGTGCCACCAGAGCAAATCAGCTCATCTGGCCTCCGATACACCTTCACAGCCTGGGAAAATAAGGCTATGTATGTGCTAGCCCTTTGTGTATGAAGAAGCTTTGCGTGGACACCTTCCCCTGGGATTCCACTCCCACACCACGCTCAAGCCTCACCTGAGCTCTGTAGCAGGCTGGGCCCTGGTTTGCAAGGGCCTCCCTGTGACCATCCTGGGTCCAGCTCAGGGCAGACCACACCTTCCCACTCCAGGAGCGTAGGGTTGGTACGTGCTGGCAGAGAGCAGGCCATTTCAGACTGGCTCATGTGGCCGAGCACCATGGCCCCCACGGCAGGAAGACATCCAGGGACCGTTCCAGTCCACAGCCCCACTGGGGTTAGCCAAGGCCGCTGGGAGTGGAGGAGGCCCGAGGCTGGGCTGCATCCAGGTTCCTAAGGCACCTGGGGGAGCTGATGGCTTCACTGCTGACAGGTGTGATTTGGCTCAACCCACCTGCAGTGCCAGTTTGCCCTGCTGGGTTGGGTGCCTCTTTGGAAGCTGAGGGCTTGTACATTTCACCTTCATTTGCCCGTGAGCTGAGAAGATCCTCCCTTCCCCAAGCACTAGTCATGAGGTTAGGTCCCCATGCCTGGGGTAGGTCACCATCCTCCTAAGCACGGCCAGTCCGAACAGTGCAGAGAGCAGCAGCACACTGCAAGCCTGCTCCAGGGTATGCAACTGGTGGTCCCCAGCTAAGACAGGGAGGATGGCTGTGGGTCAGCCATAGAGGCACTGAGGGGGTTCTACCAAAGCACTGCAGACTTTGTTGGAGCATCCAACAAAGAGCAGCTCCAGACCTGTATCTTGGCTTCTTCCTCAGTCTCAGGGGTGAACGGGCTTTCTTTGGCACAAAACACCTCTAAACACAGGGCGTACGGCTGGCAAGGTGCCCAAGGCTACGTGCTATGACGCAAAACCTCTGTGTGTGTAACGACTGAAAAATTACACTAGCATGTTTGTGGGTTAATGCTAGGCTGCTACTGCAGCTGGGAAAACCAAGCTGTGGCCAAAAGGAAATGTTATATTTACAAAAGGTGGCAATACATGATGTGGTCTTCAGAAATCTAAATATCTTGAGCTTTATGACCTCTACATATGTCTGTGTCTCTGGCTCTTTCAGCACCCCTGGCCTAAGAAGAACCAGAATGGCAGTAATCGTTGCGGAACATTTGCGTGTTACAGACTTCTCTGAGGGGACTCTGAAAGGAAAGGAGTCTCTGAAGGTAGAGTGGTCTGAAAGGAGCAGCTTTCTCTAAAACCAAGAGCTGTTCATCAATAACGGGAACTAAAGCCACAGACCATAATGTACCTGAAGAAGAATTCAAGGAGACAGATGAAACTTGACAGCTGTAGTAGATGCAAGACAGCATAACAATGCAGCAATGTCATGCTGCAGAGGTCTTGTGGCCCAACAGACCCCTCGCACACCACCCTACTTATTATTTGTCAGTGTTTTGTCTTAAATGGCTCAGGTTTTCTGGCTCTATTTGCAGGTTTAATAGCATGGAATCTCTGAAGCTCTCCACCATTCACGTATAGCCCCAGCTGCTCTCTCTTTGTGTTCTCAGATTACTTTCTTTGAAAGGAAAGGCTGTAGCATGGACACTCAGCTGATGTGTCAATGACCTTTTCACACACTGCTATCTTCCTCATATAGATACCTCCCCACTGATGGAGTACAGGTATCCAGACAGTCCTGGGCAGGGGAAGCAATAAGGTGTCTACAGAACCTGGCAGTCTGTCCGACAGTGTGTAAGCTAGGCCTAGATCATTTTTCCTGTCATTGAGGAGGCAGGGTTGACCTGTGGAACCCACTTCTCCAGGACAGTGAACAGAGCTGTAGGTCATAAGATGAGGCAGGTGCTCTGCAAATTGTCCCTCTGTCCAGTTCCCCAGCCTCTGAGCAGCTCACCAGAGCAAGTGGGCTCATGGCTGCTAGCAGCTCTTGACTGCACAGGCACTCCTCCTGTATCCACAGAGCCAGTGGACACCACGCTGCCTGTTCCTCACTATGTTACAGAGCTGAGGTGTTCAGCAATCAGTAACCCTGTCATGGCTGGCACATTACCAACACCCTGTACAGTACGAGCATTTCGTGGGGTACTACCCCCTTCTTCACCACTGCAGCAGGAAATGCCCAGCTTCCCCCAGCGCCTGGCATGGCTGACTCTGCTCCAGGGCCAGGGCCTGCCCGAAGCAGTGGGCACCAGAACCTGCTGCTCTGTTGGGGCTACAGGAGAGGCTGTGAAGGCCAACGGGCAGATGCAGGCAGGGCTGCTCTGTGGGAAGGGGCCAGGCCACCACAGCAGACCTGCAGCAGCAGGAGGCAGGAGGAGCCAGCTGTGGTCTGTGCCAGGCTGGCAGGGCCCATCTTGCCCCCAGGGCCTGGTGGTGCCTTTGAGGGTCTGGTGCCTCGGCAGGCCCCGGACAGGCAGCTGAAAAGCAGGGGTAGGCCTGGGGCACTGCAGCACCATGGGCTGAGCAAGGGTCACCCCCACAGTGCCAACCCAGACCTGGTGCAACAGGAGCACAACACAGGGCCTGGCATGTCAGAATGTTTATTAAAAAAAAAACAGTCACAATAATTTACTCCCTTTGCCACACAAAGGGCTCAGTATAAAGATCTCTGGCCTCCTAAGGTAACACAGGTAACTGAGAGATGGGTACTTGTCTCTCATCCTCCAAGACAGTGGCCTTCTCCCGTCCCCGTCGTGCAGCCAGCACAAGAGCTGCTGGCCACGTGGGGCCTGGCACAGGAGCAGCCATGTGCCCCTGCCTGCTGCTGGCTCACAGGCAGCACAGACCAACACGGGGTGCAAATGCAGAGCATACGGAGACCACAGGCACTGAGTGAATGCCAGAGGGTGTGCAAGTGCAAGCTGGAGAAAGAGGAGAAGTGGCTGATTCTTCCCATAGTGCCGAGGTGTCTGTGGAGCACAAAAATTGAAGCAGCAGGACAGTTGCTGCTTGCAGGCAGGGGGACTTGGGGCTGGCTGGAAGCAGCCCTGCCTGCCTGGCTCCTGCCTCACACAAGGTCTAGCCTGGCAGAGGCAGGAGGCCAGCTGTGGCTACTTGTCACACTCCAGATCCTGGGCCCCCTCAGCACCCTGGTAGTGCATCTCACAGAACTCCTGAATCCGACTGCAGGCCTCCAAGATCATCTCCTCAGGCACAGTGATCACCACTCGGAAGAAGTTTGGGTACTCAAAGCACTGAAATGAGAAAGGATAAAGCTAGCAAATTACCTGGGATAGTGCTGTAGTCTCAGAGCCCTGCCCTGGGGCCATGTGTTAGTCAACAAGTCGAAATGGTCAGTGTAGGACTGACTGGAGGACAGCAGGGCTGAACTCTTGCTCCCTTAGACTGTTTTTTTTTCTGTTCCAAGCAAATCTCCCACCTGCATCTGTGTAGACTTGATGCTGTGAGAGTGACAGGCCAAGGGAGTCTGTCTGGATCATGCAGGAGCCGGGGAATGAAATGGAAGGAATGGGAGGGATGGAAAGTATCCAAGGCCCCGACAGTATTCAGTGCTGGAAGTGGAGCTGGGAGGAGGTGGGTACAAGGCACGGATGTTCTCAGCCTGTCGTCCACCCCTGCGCCTGCAGAGGCGGGGACATGACACACAGGGACATGACATGGGATGGGACAGACACTGGGAACAGGGTGAAGGAAGGAAGATAGGTGGGAACAGTCCTAGGCTGCTGAGGGAGCAGCAAGGGTTCAGAGATACTGCTCTGCCAACCTAAGAAATACAGAGCAAGCCTGGAGCTGGAAAGATCCTAGTAGCCTGACTGAGGTCTGTTTGTGAGCCAGAGACTGCCAGTCCCCATCCCTACCCACACCACTTGGAGCTCAGAGCCAGCACATACACACCATTACAGACCATGGACACCACACTCAACTCCCAGCCTGTCCCCAGCACACAGGGCTGCAAACCCTCGTTGCTTCTCTCCCCATGCCTTGGCCCCACAGCTCCCTGGAGCTCTCAGTGTCAGACTCACCGTGGCTGGCAAGCAGAACACAGACTGCTCCGATATGAGTCGCTCAGTGAACTCCACATCATTTTCAAACTCAGGGAAGTGTTCCATCTCAATCTCAACCTACAGTCAAGGGATGCATAGAATACAATCATAGAATTGTTTAGGTTGGAAAAGATCTTTAAGACCAAGTCAAACCGTTAACATGGCAACCAAGGGCACCAAAATGAGCTGCAGTGTCCCTGCTTACTCACACGGCCCAACAACTCCTCAGTCAAGTGCAGCTGTCTGCCCTCAGTTTTTTGCTCATGCTTTGGGCTGACTGGAATGTAAGACACAAACAGAAACATATAAACGAAAGCTGGGGCTTCTTTAAAAAGTATCCATTAGCTACCTAAAGCTGGAATTTCAGTTAAGAACCACCTTAGTAAAAGAACTGACGACGAAGATACAGCAACCAATTATATGTGAAGAGGAATAAATAAGATATTTAAAAAAGAGCCTGGGAGAGAATTTTAGTCAATATGTATTAATAATTCTGTCATCCGAGAAATCCATGTGGTAATAAAGAGACAAACTAATGTTTTGGGTTTTTAAAGAAAATAAAGATAGCAGGGTCTAGAATATCACAAGCAAAACTCCTTGTAGGATGAGACAACTGGTAAAATGACACAAATGCTGAAATGTTCAATACATATTTTTGTTCTCTATTTGGAAAGAAGGAGGCTGTCCCTTTATCACATAAAGATAGTGGTATCCTGACCATTTGTTTATAACCAAAGATTATTTTAAACATCTCATGAAAATATTCTTAAAAAAAAACAGGTGAAAGAGAATTTTCATGCAGAAGTTCTGAAAAAGCCAATGGTAGAAAAAATTTACCAGATTATTTAATCTGAAATAAATGCTCAGATACTGCAGAAATACCATAGATGTGAAATAATTTTAGAGCTGTGCCTCTACACAAAGAGCATAAAGCAGACTGACCCATATAGCTCTGGGTAAGACTGAAAACAGGGTCAACTGGTAAAGACTTATCTACAGAACTTGTGGACCTAGCAGAGTTAGGTTAATGGCTGGACTTGATCTTAAAGGTCTTTCCAACCTAAATCATTCTATGATTCTATGAGTGAGATTGATGCTGCAGTATTCTCCAGCTCTGGGTCCACATTTTTAAAAACTGAGGAAAAACCGGAGACACTATGGGATAAAGAAAAAAAAAAAAAAAAATGTGTTCAACTTAGGAGACTTAAATGTCTCAGTTGAGCTTGTGGAGATGAGAAAGGAAATAGAAAGGAAATTTAACCACATCATAAAATATATATATAAAAAAACCCAAACAAACATATATGGAAAGAGGCAACAGCATAGACAGGAGACAGAGGTGCTAGTTGAAGAAGGCTACCTCTTCACCAGGAGGTGTGATAATCTGACTTGTAGTGTAGGAGCTTCCCATTGCCAGCTGGCTTCAAATCCACCTAAACCAACACTGTCTTGAAAAGTACAAGCCACTGAGTTCTGTACAGGAGCAAGTGGGTGAAAAGTAACAGCCTGTGCTATGGGGTAAGTGAACAACATGTTCTGGCCTTCTAAGTGACCAAGGGATATGCCTACTCCATATGGCAGTGTGAAAATGCGTGGTAACAGAGATCTGGTGCCAAGCACCAATCTGAAGACCTAGTGTGAATGTTGTGAGCTGGAAATGGCACATCCATCTCTTCCCTTACCATGAGGTACATGGCTCCGGCAGGCCTGACAGGCTGGAGGCCAGGGATAGCTGATAAGGCAGCATAGCAAAGGTCAGCATTGGACTGAAAGGCAGAAAGGAGACATTTCAAAACAGGAGAAATTCCAGGAAGCATCTCAGCAAATGGAAGCCATGCTCTGGATGAGGACTATAAACAGGTTTGCCCTCTGCAAATAAAGGCAGGAGGAATGCAAACAGAACGGCTGCTCATGGCCTTGAGCCCAGCAGGTGTGACTGAGCTGGGGTCAGCAAGTCAGTGCCAAACACCCCATTCCCTGGGCCACCAGATGCAAGGCTGGGCTGCCTCAAACTTATCACAGCCAATATTTCTGACCCAGTTACCACATCTCCTGCTCAAACTGGATTTGTTGGGCTCTCCTAGTCACAGACAGAACTGCACCTTGAAGTGAGGTGGGGAGGGATGACAAGCTAGAGACATATGACTCCCTGCAAACAAACCATGAACAAACTGCTGGCCTGTTACAGCCTGTTTACCTTGAGGATGCTGAGGGTATTGTGGTAGAACTCAGGGGGTGTTCGGTGTAAGATACGTTCCAGCGCTCCTTGGACAATTGTACAGGGACCCAGAATCCTTTGACTCAGTCTTAGTAGGCCATCCCTGATCTGGAAAAAAAAACCCATGGTGATATTTGCAGCTCAGACTGCATTTCCCTGAATGGAAGGGGCAGCTCCAAGGCCTACTCTGTTTCTAGAGCTGTTCACACCCTTCTCTTCGGTGAGCATACAGAGCACAGAAGAACATTTGCTTGACTACATGCCAGGTATTTGCAGACTATTTACAGTGTCATTCTCTGTTCCACAGTTGCAGATTGCAATGCCAACAGAGACAACCTTTGGAGCTTCCCAATCTGACTAAAACCAGGCTGGAAAATAGCTAATGTAAATAAAGTCAGAATTGTTCCAAATACCACTTTGCATTTCCCTTAGGCTTGGGCACACAAACCACACTTTCAAAGCCAGGTAGGGACAACCAACATTAACTCTTCTGCTTGCTCAGTTGGTCCTCTCTTCTCCCTCTTCTGCTGCAGAAAGCTCCCTAGGTGGCAAGGTCACTGCAGCAGATATCTGCTCTTGTAACACAGCTAAACAAACAGGCAGACAAAGCACAGGCAGCACTGCAAGGCGCTTTGCTCTTACTTTAAAGAGAAACCATAGAAGAGTACAGAGACATCACACACTGGCTCCACATGCTGAATAAGCCATGCAATACCTTCAGTCCACACTGGAGTTACTCAAGAACAGAAGGAATTAGAAGCACACAAAAAGGACAAGGCATATATGAAAGAGCAGCAGGGACAAGGAGTGTGTCACAGTGTAGATGTGGGTAGAAGCCATGTACGGGAGCAGACAGAGTAAGGAGAGAACATGAAAAACCTAAAGGTCCAGAAAAGCATGTGAGCAGTTGGGTGACACCCCCGAGAGAGCAAAAGAGCAGTACATGCCTGTATCTGTTAAAGCCCCAGTGATCCACACACTGAAAACACTTCAGGTCTGTTGCTTCCACAGTGTCACTCAGCAGTTCTCACCTCATTACCAAAGATGTCTCTCCTGTCATGAATTAGGATCCAGCCCATCCGCCAGCCAGGGACTAGCCATCGTTTTGCCAAGCCACCACAGGACAAGATTGGCACGTTGGTGCTGAGAGTTGCTATAGGTTCATATTTGCAGTCAGCAAACACCTGTGACAGGAGGCTAGGTTAGGGCTGGCATTGCCTCTTACTGTGAGCTGTGAGGCACAAGAAGAAGGGAGGTAAGGAAGTGGTGGGAAATTGATGGTGAAAGCTCCTGGCTTCAAAGTATGAACATGGTAAGTGCACTCACATGAAAGTGAGCTGTTTGGGAAGGGTAAAGGAGCTGAACATGAGAGGTACTGCCCAAGATTACACGCCAGAGGACTGGGAGCTCCAGGTATGGACCCATGCACAGTACAGGTGTCACTCACCTTTGGAGACCTGCCACAGCCAAAGGGCAAGTGCATCAGGAAGGACAGGGCAGTATTGGGGTGCAAAGGACTGCAACTGACACTCACCATGTCTCCATAAATCTCGTCAGCAAGGATGGGCACACACTGTCTTGACGCCACTGTGGGAGAGAGGGTATTCAGCCTGGCCACTCTGCATCCTCCATGGGAGCAGACCCTAACCCTAACCCTAACCCTCTGCTGCAGAGCCTGGCAGGGTTCTGAGGGAAGACTCAGTCCCAGAGCGGAGAGGCCCTATCTTCCTCCCAGAGACCGTTCATTTGGAGAACCCAAGCACTGGAGATCCCTCTCCTGGCTGGGCCTAGTTCTGCTGTCACCTGTGATGTCAAGCAGCACAGCCCTCTGACTGACAGGTCAGGGCTCAGGAAGCATAGGGCTCCCTCTGAGCACTCTCCCTCTGCAGAGCCAGTGTGGAGAAATGAACAGTCCAAGCCACACAGAGCATTTGAGGAAGAGCAGCACCTTCCCGCTGAGCAAGCCCTGCTTCCTGATCTGGAGTCAGTCACCAGGAGAGAAGCAAAGCCCTGGGCCATGGTGCTGCAGTGGTTAACACACAGGCAATGCTGGCAGACACTAGACTGCAGCCATGCCCCAGGTACACACAGGCAGGCTCACCTGCCAGGATCTTCTGGAGGTGGCTCTTGCTGAACACAGAGCCACAGGGGTTCGATGGGTTGTTCACGATGAGGCAAGCTGTCTTCTCATCCACCAGAGACTCCAAGTGCTCCAAATCAATTTCCCAAGCCTTCTCTGGCTATTGAAGTGAAGAGGAGGGGAAGTAACAGCTGAGGAACTGGACTTGCCACACAGGCTGAGTTGCGACAGGGTGCCCAGAGTTGCTCAGGTCATCTTCACCCACTTCCCAGGTAGGGCCAGGGTATTTCTGAGAGGCAGAAACATCAGGGCTGCCCTTTCCAGGCCAGCCACCACTTACCAAGAGGTTGTAGAGTTTGACCTCAATCCCCATAGACAATGCCAGAGTCTTGTAGAGGGAGAAGCCAGGCCGTGGCACCAGGATGTTCTGGCCTGGGTTGGCCAGCACTGCTAGGGCAAGCTCTATCGCCTGGCTGCAGCCACTCGTTAGGATGACATCCTGCAAAGAGCACACGGGGTCAGTGGAAAACATGGCCACTCCGAAGTGCCCCAGCCATGTGGGAGTGACACAATGTCCAGGCTCTGCCAGGTGAGAGCTTCTCAGCCAAAAAGACAAGTCCAGAGCCTGACTGAAAGCAAGAAGCCTCCAACAGCTGGGGAGCTCATCTTCCTCCTGAAGAGGGTGGAGGGGAAGGGCTCGGGGCAGGGTACAAAAGCAGAAGGACGCTGCTGTGGGCCAAGGCCATGGGCCAGCCTTCAGTCCCCCAGCCGGGCAGGGCGGGAGGGAGCTGGGGCAGTGCCCCCACACCCCGCAGTGTGGGCTGGCAGCACCCCCCTGCCCGCACTGTGGTGGGAGTGCCTCGGCTGGGCACCGGTACCTGGGCCTCCAGCGGTGCCTGCGGGCAGCTGTAGTACGCGGCCACTGCCTCCCGGCAGGACTGGTAGCCTGGGGAAAGAGAAGCCAAACATGGAGGGGAAGTTTTCACAGACGATTTCCTTTTGCTTACCAGTACCAGGCTCACAGCTGCCGCTTGGCCGGGGGAAGCCCGTTCATTGGTGAGGCTGCCCCAAGGTGGCAGAAACTGTCCTGCCCCAGGCCAAGCACGGGCAGCCCTGAGGCTGGGCCAGGCAGGTGGAGAGCAGGGACAGGCCCTGGGCAGGGGGCAGGCTCTGGCCCTAGCGTGTCCTGGACACAGAACTGAAAGGAGCCGGGTGGAGAGTGGCCAGGGAGCTGCTCTGACCCAGCAGGAGGCCAAGTTCTGTTACACGGCTTCTACTGTTGCAGTCCTCTCTGTCAGCACATGGAGTCATTGGACATGACACAAGAGGAGGTGGAGTGTCCCGCGAGGCACGCGTGACCCATGCTCTGTGAATGCCTTTTCCACTCACTGCAAAGAAGGCTCACATAAATCTGTGAAGTCAGGGAGCCTAAGGAGAGTCCTAGTCAAGGCAGATCGGAAGGAAACTTGGCTGCAACCCATGGCAGGATTAAAACACATCCCTGAACCCTTCTGGGTGCCTGAAACCCTACCTGCTCTAATGGCAGGGGGAGCAAACCCAGTGTCTGCAGGAGGCTCTGAGCCTCTAAAGATCATGCAGGGAAGGGCACTCAGGTGTATCTGGGAGGTGCATGTGCTTATGTCCTCATAGCACCTTTGGTGAGGACAGCTACTGGGTGCTACTGGAAAGATGTCCATTGGCTCCATATACGTGCTGTGAGGTAGAGCTGCCACATCCCTTCATCCTTCCCTCACAGGAAGAGCTTTGTCAACTTACCAACAGATGGGGCATAACCATTGTAACGTCCTGAGTCCAAAGCCTCCTTCATAGCCCGTGTGACCTCATCATTTGTGGGAAGGTTTCCAAAGACCGTCGGGTCTCCTTTTCAAAGATTGAAAAATAGTGAAGGTCTCACTGATCTGTGACAGGCATAGAGCTGTGTGGTTGTCTGGCCTATCCCCCCTTGTGTTTGCACAACCTTTGTGCTTCAGAGCCCTGCAATCTGCCAGCCACTCAGTTGACCACACTGCCCAGAGGCTTCAGGCACAGCACTATGCTCACCTAAGGACAAGGAGATCATAGCTTTCTTTGGGTTGGGCTCCACCTTCATGCTGTCTACAATGGCTCGGACAGGGTTGAAAGTCTTCTTTGACATTTCAGAAGCTCTGACAGCCCATCTTGGCTTCCGGCCCTTCACCTTCCCCAGTGATATGCTGTTCCCATTGGTCTTGAGATGAACATCCAGCATAGGGGAGCGATCTCCATGGCCATTCACTTGGATCAGGTATGAGTCCATCCTGAGAGCTGTCAGTGTGAAGTGGATTTCCTGGGCTTAGTTAATGTATGCCAAACAAGGGATCTGCCCATGTGGGGACAGAGACCACAACTCTTGAAAAGTAAAGCTTCCAAAAACTGTAGAACCTACCTACTGCCTATGGACAACTCAGCAGCAGCAAGTAGGGCTGTATTTGGGGCCAGGATGGAGTGGAACTCCGCACACAAGCGAGAACACAATGCAGTGGGGAAGATAAAGACACCTCTGTGCTAGCTACACCACTGCCTAGCACTGACTTGCTGTGCTGAGGAGGAGCAGGCCCCACTAAAGCTGGCAGCCAAGAGCTGGCAGCGTGTTGTAGCCACTGTTTGACTGCAGATTCGGTGTCCTGCTGACAGAAGGGCCAGGTTACCTCCCCCTCCTCCCCCACAGCTATCAACTTGTACACCTCAAACTGCAACCACAAGGATCAACCCACTATGTGGGTTCACATCCAGAATGTCCCTCCCGTCTGTAGACAGAAATGCAGCACTGTTTAAACCAAATCTGATGCCAAAAAAAAAGGTAGTTGTGGTCCAAATGTTATCAGGATGCATTGGGCAGTGGCAGGGTATAGGGTACAGACACTTGCCTCTGTCAGAAGAGCAACAGGGAGCTACAGCCCAGCCCAGAGACCCTAGGTCAAAAGGCAGCGCTTAGAAAATGGACCAAGACTGATACAACGAAGAGGGACATCAGTGAGGTGGCACTGCCCCAAGCAAGGGGCCTGCAGCCCTGCCTGAGGCTGAGTAACAATCAAGGCACAGCAGAAGAACAGCTGCCTTCTGCACCCCAAAACACACACAAAAGTCACTTACACACCTCAGCGTGTATATGCAGAGCACAAGCCAGACCCAGCCAGCAAATGCCTTGCTTTCAAAATCCTGCTGACTCCAGGCTTTCTCACCTGCAGAAGGCTAGGGACAAGGCACAGGGCAGCTAGAGATGCCCTGAGGCACTAAGCCCATCCTTGCTGATACTGTTTTATAACCCTGCCACAAACTGCTTATGTCCTCTGTGCTGCCCCATTTCTCTGGCCCACTGAAAGGCAATTCAGTGAAGAGTGGACCCTTCCTGATGGTAGTTACCCCATGCTTGCAGGTGTTCACAACACAGCTACCCACTCCTTGCTGCACAGGCTGAGCTGGAAGGGTTGTAGTGTTGCCTGGTTCAGGCAAGATTTGCCATCCGAACAAATTTCTCACTGCTTCAGTACAGTCTGCACCTAGAGATGCCCCATGCTGCTGCTGTTACTCCGCCATAAATACATATATATTGTAATATCTATAAAGCTCCTATCACCATATTAATAAATCACCTCCCTAGCCTGTTTGTAACAACTCCCGCTGCCCTAACAGGGCCACAAAGCAAGAGTTCAGCTTCTCCTCTGCAGATACCTTCTGAGTCTCCTTTCTACCGAAGGTAAGGCAGCTAAAGAAACATGCAGCGGAGCTGCATAAAAACTGCAGAGAAGTGAGACGTGTCTCAGTTGAACACCAGGGCTGAGTCCCAGTGCACAATGCAGAGTCTAGCCCAGCAGAGCTTTCACACCACTCTGCAACACGGTTCTCCTGCAACGGGGAGCTGCAGACACCCCACAATGAGTGCCTTCAATGTAGTCAGACAGGGAACATCTCCCCACTTCTGCCCCTGAAAAAAGCAAGGTACAAAGCATAACACTTTACCTTCTACAGCACAGACAGGGAGACACCAAGAAGCTTGGGGGGTCCAGTCCCTACTTTGCATCCAGGACAAATCCCCTTGAGAAGAACTTCCTGCAAATTCTTGCCCATGAAATAAGCCCCCAAACTGGGCGTTGGGACTGAGTCGTTTACCCATTGGCTCACAGAGAGGGCTGCTCTCCCCACCCAAAAACGCCCTCCCCTCCTCATTGCAATGTGTTCACTTCAGACACCTGGAACATGCCTGTGTTAACTCTTTCTGGGGGGCAGCTTACAGAGGGACACAGTTTAGCTTCCTGGAGACCCTGGGCTTCCATCCTGTGGACCACTTCCCTCAGCCCTTAAAGACTGTGGGGGACAAGTCTGCACAGTCCAAGTATTCCAGCCCTCGCACCTTGTGATGCACCAAGAGTGTATGATGGGTCTCAGAGCCTGTGGAAAGCATTGGTCTGTCCTGACCTCAAAGGATCTGGGCTCCCAATGCACCAGCTGAGAAAGGACAGTTTGTGGCATCATTACAACCAGGAGACATCTTCCTCCATAGGTTGAAAGAGGGCAGGCACGTCCTTGGCTGGTGCCCTGGAACCTGAAGGGTTAAAGGAAGCACAGGTTGCCATGTGCTTAGATTTTTGGGGTTTTGTGGGGTTTTTTTTGGTTGGTTGGGTTTTTGCTTGTTTGTTTGTTGTTTTATTTGTTGTAAGGCCCAAGGAAACTCATCATTTTGGCAGCTAACAGAAATGATGCAATTCTTCCCTCTCTGATCATACTGCAAAACACAGATGACACCATTCCTAGAAGGTCCTGTTTTCTTAAGTGAGGTGAAATCTGTGCCTTCCTGTTCCTCGACTCCTGCAGGCCTGGCACAAGTAAGAGAGGCATCTGCACCCTCCCTGTCTTCCAAGGGCTGCTCCAAGTCTTCCCTTACTGCGCTGGCAGCAAATGGCCAGAGATCAGAGTTGCTCAAGGCCAAGAGAGTTCCTGCCAATCTTGCAAATAGACTGCTGATGCCTTCACTACAAAGGCCAGCAGTCCTGATTTTTGCCTGTTTACACCCAGTACCGTGTGGGAAGAGGAAGGACCTCTTGTGCTCAACCCACACACACTGCACTACCAGCAGTAGGGCTGCGCCTCCCCAGGTGCAAGCACCGGCCCCTTTCCTCTGCCTTGAGGTTGGGGTGACACCGCTGGGGAGCCATGACCTGCCGCTGACCACAGAGTGCCATCGGCACGGCTGAGGCCACAATAGTGGCCAGGGTCTCGGTGCTGGAGTCAAGCTGGGAGGTGGTGGGGTTCAGCCAGCAGGTCTGGACAGGGTCCCCAGCCCCAGACTAGCTGGCAGGCTTCCCAGATCAGCCACTCCCCAAGGGCTTTGGGCAAGGAAGAGCAGCTTTCAAAAACACTTCACAGAGAAACCTCTTGTATTGAAGCTGCTTGGACCCTCTTCTGCTGAGAGCTGTACATTTCCCTAGGGTTTTCTCCCTCCTTTTTACTGAAGCGTGGCATAAGCAACCGTCAGAAGTTCATGGAGGCCCTCTCCAGCACCTATGGGTTATTTTCTCACTTCTCCCAGCTGGCCCCATCTTTTGCCATGCTACACCCTTAACAGGGTTAAATGTGGCACTGGGAGGCCTCAAGGACAATGCTGCTTGTTCTGCGTAGCAACAACCCTGAAGCTGACGCAACTGGAGCTCTACCTGTAATGCTGCATACAGCAGTGGGGTTCAGGAGAGGGCATGGTGGAAGTCTGCTGCCAAGAGGGGAAAAAAATGTAGCCCTGGAGATGTAGGTAGACCTAGTTGCATAAGGCTGAGAACCTGGCCAGAAGCAGAGGGAGGACAGCCGCATACAATGGGGTCAGTGGGTTTCTCCTCCTGTTGTTATGCCTTGCTCCTCTCTCTGAATGACTCCAGTCCTTCCCTGGATGTTCTCACGTGGAGCCTGCAGCCCACCACCACCTTGCGGTGCACAGAGCCTCCCACAGCTGAAGCACGAGCACACAGCTCAGCACTTCACTTTTTACAGACACAGCCAAGCCACCCGTCCCTTGTACGGTGCAGTGACAGAGGTGGCCAGACCCTGCAGGACGTATTTCTGCCAGCAAGGCAGCTGCTGCCCTGGCTGCCAGGACCTCTGTGACCAGCAGCCCTGACTAGCCTCCTCCCTACAGTTTGCTCCTCTGTCTGAGCAGCTCTCCCCCACAGGTGTCTTGTTGCATACTTCTTCAGCTCCCTCCTTCTTGTGTAGCTTGAGCAACTCATTTTTATCTCTTCCAGTGGAAGGAGAAATCTGCAATGTTTTTTTGGTACTGCCTTGCTCTGGCTGCAGGACTGCCCAGAGTCCTGTTCCTGTGAACAGAGGCCAAGCCAGCGAGAGCAAGCAGTTTCCTCTTCCAGGATCAGCCTCAGTTAAAAGCAGGACTGATACACTGCTGCTCGAGTGGAGCACAGGCTCAAGCGTCACTGCCCTGACAAATCTGCATCTCTGTCAGGCTGCAGGTACGACATGCACCAGTAAAGTTCTGCCTGTGTGCCCTGCACCCCCATTCAGGCTGCACTGCTCCAGGGACAGACACTCCACTGTTGCTCTGCACAAAAATCCACCAGGGTCAATAACAAATGACTTTACTAGTTACCTCCTCACATTTTGCGTTTTTTTTTTTCTGCAATTTCTGTCTGCTCCTTTCTGACAGTACAGCCATTGGGGTTTCTGACTAGTACAGCCCCCACCAGCTCAGGGCTGGTATCCACAAATAGGAGTGCAGCCTAATCTCTGTTTGATCTCTGCATTTCTATTTGAACCAGCTTTTAATAACTACATATGTGATTCTCCCTTTTTATTACTTTTTAAAATCAATTTACAGTTAATAAATCTCTCAGGAATTTTCTGACTGTGGATTCCCACAGCATATTCACCTTTACAACACTGTGGCAGGTTTCCTGGAATGTAAGGGCCAAACCTTCTCTGTTTCAGGCCAGGCCACATGCACACTCTGAAACGCACGTGGCATGGATGGGGCTGCTGTGCCAAACCTACATATATCTGCCCAAGTCTCTGCTCAAAACACAACGATGGTTGTGACTCCAGCACCCGTTAATTGCACAGCATTTGCCTGAAATGGAGCAGAGCAATAGTCACTCTGCATAATCAGAGCAGAAATTCAGCTCCAAAACCTCAGCTAGGTTCTACAAAACTGTGCAAACATTGTGTTTAAGAGCCAGAAGGATGTCACAATCCATACAGTGTGGCTCGAAGCTAGTAAGTGAGTGACTCAAAAATATACAGTAGCTACTTTCTCTCTCT